ATGCGGTGTCATTCTCCCTGTGGTCAGAGGGGCGAAGAGACATGAATGGCTGGCCTTAGAGGAGAAGCAGGAGCCTGAGCTCGTCTCACCCTGTGCTGGAGACAGCCTAGTAAATGGCTTCATTGGGAAAGGGTCAGTTCACTGGCTAAGGATCGGCTGTAAACACGGGGCCTCAAAAGACCACCTTGGTGGGCAGCTAGTGAGCCGGTCTTGGATGAGTCGCTTTGGCGTCCGTTGACTGACTGACTTTTCTTCGGTGAGAGTGGGTAAATACGTGACGGCGCGTGCTGCACCTCTACCCACACCTCCTTTCCGCCTTTAGCTACTTTTTTTGGATAGAGAATAGTATGACCTCGAATGATCTGGGGGCTACAGCAAGATCTTCTGGGACAGGCTTCTCAAACTGGGTGATGTGAAGAAAAGGAGTTACTGCTAAGAGCACAGAATGGGCTTAGCTGACCTGGACTAGGTCCTAGCTCCCACACTAACTGATTACACCACCCTTCTCAACTTCAGTTTTCTCATCTGTAACATGACAACAACTTCTACATCACAGGGTTATTCTAAAATAAGGAAAGGAAAATGCTCTTTCGCAGGTGATTGTAATGCACTACTCAGTCCCAAAGAGTGTTCTGGGGAACACTAGTACTGCAGGATTTTAACAAGGACAAGGTAGAAAGAGGCTGTCAAACAGGAAACTGCTGACTAATACCAAATTAAACAGCTGGTTCTTACTCAGCACTGTGCCTTTCAGAAGGGAAAAGTGTATGCAGGATTCCCCAAATGGAACCACTTTTCACAGAGAGAATGCACTTTTGGAAGCATGAGACAAAATGGAAAGGATAATAGCTGACATTTACTGAGAGTACTGTACGCCAGGCACTGTTCCAAGCCCCTTTACGCAAAGTGTCTTGTTTAATCCTTACAACACCCCCATGAGAGGCTACTGTTATCTCCATTTACCGATAAAGAAACTTGGCACAGAGAGGTTAGGTAATTTACCCAAGATTACACAGTCAGTAAATTCAGAACTGGGATCCAAACACCAGGGTCTGGCTCCTGAGCTCACTTATTTAACAGCCACACTCTAAAACAAGGTAATACTAGGACTTTATTTATGTATTATGTATCCATTAGCTAATTCAACAAGTATTTGTGAAGCCCATATTTATGTCCAGACACCATACTGGACACTGAGGATACAATTGTAAAGGCAGTCACACTTCCTGTCCTCAGTGAGCATTTGGTCTGGTAGGGAACATAGTCAAGTAAACAGATGATTGCAACAGAATAGAGTAAATACTGTAATTGGGAGGTACCTAAGGTGCTAGGGGAGCCCTTGGGAGCAATAACTGCCTCAGACTTAGGAAGAATCACTGCAGGAAGTGACTTCTAATCAGAAGGCCTAAAATGAATTGGAGTTAGTCAACCGAAGGCATGGGAGAGGGGAAAACGTTTCAGGCAGTGGAATAGTACTTGCAAAACCTCAGAGGCAAGAAAGCACATTAGGAAGGGGATAGTTGAGAGATGAGACCTCAGAGGTGAGCAGGAACCCTCCTCATAGACATTCCTTATTAGCTGGGCTGTGATGCTGGCACTCTGCTGACACTTGTCCCTGAACCAAATAACCCCAGCCATGTTCCTTAAATTCATCTGCTTTTTATGGTAAGCACCCAGCGTATAGCTCTGTCATTGTGTTTACGAAACAGTGTTATAATTTGTCTGTTCTGGATTCTTGCATTAGACTGTTAACTTCTTAAAGTCAGGAACCCTGTCTTTTTCATTATGTATGTCTCCAGAAGCTATCACTATGCAGTGATGCTCAGTAGATGTTGTTTGTTGAATGAATGATGTGTTTTCTTTATAAAATGGATTATATCCTTCCTGCTTTCTTGAGTCAGCTATCACTTTTCCTCAGGTTCATCATTATATCCAGCACTTAATGTCCTGTGTGGCAGTTCAGTGGTGCCCTTAGGGGCTTTTGAGGTGCTGTATTCTGTGACTTCCTCTTTCAGCTTTTGATTGTGCTCTTCTTTTCCCTTCCTGCCTAGCTAGCACTTGATTGTAATCAATTTGCTGGATCCTGAAGCCTCCTTCCCAGCCTTCTTGTTTGTTTCTCCTGATCTGCAGTGGGCTGGAAAGAAGATCACTTACCATGATTTGATAAGACTGTTTGTGACTAAGAGTTAGTAATCTCTGAGTTAGGTCCTAAAGAGCCCTCGTATGGGAAAAATGCAAATGCACATGGGACTCGTATGTTAGCTACTCAGAGGCCTTCTTCCTGTTCTCCCTGCTCCGGGAAAGGTCAGATAACACTCAGGGGTTGGGGGAGGTGGTCAGTCTGGAGAGCCTCTTTGTGGTGCAGAAGAGCTGATCTACCTTTGTTTGACTAAACTACAGGAAAGTCTGTTCTTCAGCTACAAACTCTACCAACTTCATTCTGGCCAGACACTTGAAACGCTTCCACCTAAGCTAACTTATCCAGAGGCTAGCTACAAACCTCAGGCCAATCTCTATTAAGGCAAGTTCCACCAAGAGGGCGCCTGGGTGGCTCAGTTGGTTAAGCGACTGCCTTCGGCTCAGGTCATGATCCTGGAGTCCCGGGATCGAGTCCCGCATCGGGCTCCCTGCTCAGCAGGGAGTCTGCTTCTCCCTCTGACCCTCTTCCTTCTCGTGCTTTCTATCTCTCATTCTCTCTCTCAAATAAATAAATAAAATCTGTAAAAAAAAAAAAGTTCCACCAAGAGTGTGTTGTACCTTCATTTGAGCAGAGAAAGAAAAGGGAGTAGGAACCAAGGCTGAGACCAGAATATCTGGGCTCTGGGTTCTGATTCCCTCGTTTGCAAAATTAGAGTGACAACATGGTATGATGTAAAGAAAGAGCACTCAGATTAGATCTGGGTTCTTATCATCACTCAACTACTCACTCACTATGTGACCTCTGTTCCTCATCTGTACAATGGGAATTATAATACCTACTATATAAGGTGGTTGGAAGAATTAAATAGATTGTGTGGAGTGACCATGCCAGGCATAGAGTAGAAGGTCAGTAGGTGACATCAGCTAGTATTAGGAAGAGACGTGACAGTCTTCTGGTTTGGGGAACTTTTAAATAGGAGGTTCAGTTTCTCAGGAGGGGAAATGCATAGACTCCATTCCATGACCACTTGGAAAAGAATGATTTAGAACTGGTATAGTGTGGGGTGCCTGGGTGGCTCAGTCGGTTAAGTGTCTGCCTTAGGCTGGGGTCATGATCCCAGGGTCCTGGGATGGAGCCCCGCATCAGACTCCCTGCTTAGCAGGGAGCCTGCTTCTCCCTCTCCCTCTGCCTCTCCCCCTGCTTGTGCTCTCTCTCTCTCTGTCAAATGAATAAATAAAATCTTAAAAAAAAGAAAGAAAGAAATAGTATGGTACTTTTAACTACCTAGTCAAGGTTACCTCTTGACTAAATTATACCCTTTATCCAGTGGGAGGTAAGGGGAGTCTACCTTCGCAGACTCTGTGCCATGGGCTGGGGGGAAAGGGGGTACAGGTAGGTAGGACCCAAATTCTGCCCTCAACAAACACAGCTCAGGACGGAACATAAGACAATAATTCCAATAATTTGTACATGAGGCAGAAAGAAACCCTATCTATGCAGGATAAATATTGTTCTATTGGGTCTCATCTCCAAGGCAGGGCCCCAGAGGTGGGGTAACCATCCAATTTATTGTCCAAACTGGGACTGTCCAGGACAGTAGGCATAAACCAGACCCATCCAGGGTGAACCAGGACATATGTGGTTACCCATTCCAGAGGGTCCTATAAAAGTGATGGAACTAGTTTTAGGCTCTTTTTTTTTTTTTTTAAGATTTTATTTATTTATTTGACAGAGAGAGAGAGCACAAGTAGGCAGAACGGGAGGCAGAGGGAGAAGGAGAAGCAGGCTCTCCACTGAGCAGGGAGCCCCATGTGGGGCTCGATCCCAGGACCCTGAGATCACGACCTGAGCTGAAGGCAAACACTCAACCGACTGAGCCACCCAGGTGCCTGTATTAAATTGGAGAGAGTCATGAATATTAGCACTAGAGTGAACTGGGGGTTTTTGGTTCTTTTGACCACATGAAATGCTTGTTGTTCTTACCTTCAAAAAAAAAAAAGAAATGTTCACAATAGATTATTAAAGGTAAAAGAATTACAAAATTGCAATATAGTATGCTCTAATTTTGAAGGATATGCATGAGAGATATATATATGTGCTTTGTAGGATTTGTATGTAGGAGATACATATACATAACATGCTTATATATACATATATATATAGAGAGAGATACCAAAATATTAAATGTAGTTTCTTGAGTTGCTGAGCTGTTGATACCTTTTCTCCTCTGTACTATTCTGTGGTTTCAAATTTTTAATGGCTTTTAAAAATTAAGAAAGTTCTTTATAAAATACTTTTAAATACTCACTAGATTGTAAACATCTTCAAAATAAAGGGGTATGTTAACTGTTCTGCTAGGAACAGCCTCTTTCTCTCACCTGCCTACCATCCCCTAGCCAACCCCCTAGCCTTCTTTCTTCATCTGGATAACTTCTCTTCACCCTTCAAGACTCTCATCTTGTGGGATATTCTCTTCATTGCCCAAACTGAACTAAGCTCCCCTCTGCCTTTCTATCATCCTGTTATAACTCTAATATAGCATTTATCTCAAATAGCACTTTACATGTCTGTTTTTGTCTGCTTCCTTCATCAGATTGAGTCAGAAACCATATCTGATTCATTTCTGCGTCTCCAAATGAATCCTAACACATAATAGATGTCAGTAAACATTTGTGAACGAACTGGCCTTGTTTTACCCCCTCTTGCCCTGCACAGATGGCCCAGCACATAGTAGGTGCATTATATGTGTAGTAAGCATGTACATGAATGAGGGAGGGAAATAAAACACCAAGAGAAAGGTGAGATTGGTGGCTCCTGGCATTTGTTGCTAATGGGAGGGTTTGTGTTGCTGTCCCCCCAGTCCTGGTCACCCGAGAGGATGACTTCAACAACCGGCTGAACAACCGTGCCAGCTTCAAGGGCTGCACAGCCCTGCACTATGCTGTCCTTGCTGATGACTACCGCACTGTCAAGGAGCTACTTGATGGAGGTGAGCGCGTGGGTGAATGGGGCTGGGGGTTGGCAGGGAAAGAGTACTTGGCAGCCTCTCCACTCTGGAAAATCCATGCTTCCCCAGAGCTCTGTTACCCTTCCAAAGCTGGAAATGCGTTGAGGGTGGCTCCACCTCGTGAGAGTGGCTCTGCGATGTGTGATTTGCCTTCGTGCGGCTGGAATGCGTTCTTTGCCTATGTGTGTGTCACACACCACACCATCCTGCCTGTCTGCCTATGCTCTGAGTTTTCTTGATTCTGCCTCTCCCCAAAAGTGTCCTCTCTTCTCCCCTGTGGCCTCCAGAGCAGGGCTAGTAGAACAAGGAGGGAGGCCCTTCAAGTGTCTACAAATGCAGGTCTCAAAGACATTCTCCTTGATCCCATTCCCCCACCTCAGTCTAAATTAGGCCCCTTTCATTACCTCGATCATGGCATGCTCTTCTTTCCCATAATCGCTCTTGTCACAATCTGGAATTATTTTTGTGAGTTCAGTAGCCTTCTCCCTAACTTGACTCACTCCCTAAAGGCCACTGATTTGTCCCCAGCACCTAGTATGGTACCTGGCATACAGTAAGCACTCAATAAATCTTTGTTCACTGATTGAATACCCTCCCTTTGGAGAGTATTTGTTTAATTGGAGGGGCAGTATGTTCCATCTTTCAATTCAGGCTCGGCTCATCCTATGTAGGTCTGGTACAGAGTTACCTGCCACCCTGCCAGATACTTCTCAAGCTGTCACTTTCCCTCCCACTTCCCCTTACCCCATTATGGCCTCGCCTTGGGGTAGGGAGAGAAGCATCTTACCTAGGTGTGTCATGCCCAGGCCTCTGAATAAGTATGGCACATAACTGCCTGTTTATGCCCTTGCTGCCACTTCTTGGGGGCCTAGGGACCCCTCTCTTGGGCCTGGATACCAAGGTCCTCCTTGTCGGTGGTCATTCTCCATAGAGCCTGGGAGCTGGAAGGGGCCTCAGAAGTTCTCTGAGTCACCCTGATTCCCTGCTCCCCCTCCTCCTGTCGGGAACCTTCAACAGCCGGTAGGCTGGCCTTTCCTTGGACCCTGGCAGGGACTGAGGGAACCCTACTTCTTCCCCAGAAGTCCATTCCATTTTAGTTCTTCTCTAACTGGTTAAAACATCTTTTTCTAAATACACTGTGATTTTGTTCTCTAATTTCTGCCAACTGTCCTCTGCAGCCAAATCACTTTTTCAGAATCCAGTATTCGAAGAAAGTTCTTTCAGTTGCAGAGCCCTTGCTTCCACAGCCTAACATTCCCAGATCATGTTCTAGTCCTTGCCATGTGGTTGGGCTGGAGGGGTTTCCCAGTAATCCCTAAATCCTGCCACCTTCTGTCAGCCACAGCCATTCTGGCTTAAAACCTATGCCTGGCCCATACCCCCAGCCTAGGCGACCTGCCCCAGAGCAGCAGAGTATTCCTGGGTCTGGGGCATGAACACTCTGAAGTGTAGGACTGCTGTGACAGTGCCGGGAATGATTGATGCTTTCAGAGCAAGAACTCACTGCTCTCAGAAGCAGAGACATAGAAAACGTCTCCAAGCAAGATGCTACTTAGATCTCAGGCAAGACATTTGCAGCTAAGAATTGGAGCATTCACCGTGGGGCTTCTTTCTGCCAAGCCTTAAAATCAGTCAGTACTCCCAGCCATTGTCCAGTGGTTTACATTCCCTGCTTCCCCTCAGCCCTCAGACAGACAGGGAGTTCAGTCTAAAAGAGAGACCCTCACCCAGCCTTCCAGATTGAACACCTTTGAAATGAAGATGCACAGGCCTTTTATGAAGCATCCCCGCCCTCAACCCCCCAGGCCAAGGCTGGTCCTTTGAGCCGTTCCAGGGGCATGGTTCCTGCCTGTTGACTTGGAACAGATGCCCTTAGCCCCCAACTTTATAGTTTGCCCACCTGCTTTTTTACCCAGCATCCATTTACACCCCCTGCCCTAGCCTCCCAGCCTCAAGGGCCAAAACCATTAACCCACTTATTTCTCCTTTCCCAACCTGAACAAGTGGCCGTCACTCAGGGCCTGCAGGCCTGCCAACTTCTAGCCCCCCTCCGTCCCCCTTGACCTCTCTTGGTCTTTCTGTGTGTGTGACCAGCCAACCGAGAGGGAAGATCCTGCTCCCTGTCCTAGGGGCTATTGCCAGTCACGTTTCCAAAGTCTTCTGACCTCAGCTGACCTCCTCCCGAGGATTTCAGGGAAGGCAGGCCTTCCTGCCCATCTAGCTTTCTCAGCCTGTATTTGCCCCTGGCTTTGCTGCAGCAACTTAGAGGGAGGCTCTCTGGGAGATCCAAGGCAGGCCTAGGCACAGGGGCAGCCTGTGTTCACGAGGTCCACACAGACCCTTGTCTTTGAAATTGCTGAGTCCACAGGGCTCTGGGGCCCCCAGATTGTAGAGGGTTAGAGCTAGAGAAGCCAGCTGCTCTTGGCCTCTGGCCAGGGGTCCCCATATGAGAGCTGGGAGGAGGTCCAGGCAGCAGCATCAGTCTATTAATTCAGGCAGTTCTCTGACCCCTTAAAATGCAGCGTGGAGTAAAAGAAAGGACACTGCAGACTTAGAGTCAGGCCAGCCTGGGTTTATATCCCACCTCCCCCACCTACTAGCTGTATTGCCTTGGATATGTTGCCTTAACTCTCTAGGCTTCAGTTTTCTTGTCTGTCAGATAATACCTGGGAAGTATCACAGGGGTAACGTGGGGACGAGTGATAATATCTTTAAAAGCCCCAATACGTGGTAGGTGCGCCATGATTAGTCTAAAGAAGTCAAACTCTCCCTGACAGGTATAATCCTCCTATTTCCTCCTCATGTAAAACCTGTGCTCCTGCCTAAAGACTTCGTAATTCTCTTTCTACCACAACTTCTCCACCCTGCCTAAAACACCATCATGTTCCCTCTCTTCTCATCTAGATCTTCGGGCCCTTCAAGGCCTCCCTCTCTCAGGAAGCTTCTCTTGGTGCTCTTGTACACTCTGATAGCACCACCTCTGAACTCTTGCAGTGTTGGGCTGGGTGCTTAGCACAGGTCATTTCTTCATCTTTAGGAGGTCCTGTAACATAATGAAAAGAACACGAGCTTGGGAGTCTGACAGACCTGGGTTTAAATCTCAGCTCTGCATTGTCACTGTGGGCTAGGTAGTTGTCATTTCTGAGACCATGGACTTCAGGGCATCCTAGATGGATCAGGCAAATTGACCCTGACCCTGACCCTGAGAGACTATCAGACTGGCAGAGGAGATAGATATGGAAACAGGCGGTGACAGCTGGGTGGGTGTCTGGCAGGGGACTGGACAGGAGCTCTGGGGACATAAAGGAGGAAATACCCCTGCCTAGTGAGTAGGGAGATGGAGTCAGTTATAGAACGACTAGGGGTAGGGGGCAGGGTGTGTGCGTGCCTAAGCCTTATCAGGAAGGTTAATGGGAGTTTGCCAGACAGACTTCTGTGGGTGGGTTCTGAGTTCTGAATTCATGAGTACCAATTTTCTGCTCCTGAGCTCCACACAGAAGTGGAGGTCTTTGTGGTTTTCATTCTGTGAACGTGCTGCTTCTGCCTGTGTTGTTGGCTTATGAGCTGGAAAGTTCTGCCTCAGCACTTGACTGCCAAGTATAAGAAAAGGTTGGAGGGAGGTAGGGAGGGAGAGACAGGATGACTGGGAAGAGGATTTATCGGGGAGGGTGAGGAGCTGCCTCCCCCAAGCCCCTGGAGCTGACTCTCCCAGTATTTCTAGGGCTCTGCAGGGGCTTTCGCAGCTGTTTCCTCCCAGGGATGTGATCCCGCTGCCAGATCCATCTTCCTGAGACATAGTTCCAATCATGGTAGCCTTCCTCAACCAGGAGTCCTCCAGGGAATTGAGCCCTGGTGCTCTAAGGCATCCACTGTACACAAGGAATAACTCCTCTCCCAGGCATCTAAAATGGTACACGTTATGCACCATTCTTGGGACAATTGAGAAAATCGTTGCTCAGATAATTTCCTGTAGGTGATTCAGAGGAGCAACCCAGTTGAGGAATGCTGCAAGGAGAGAGCACGAACTGTGGAGTCAGGATCTGAATGCAAGCCCTGCCACCAAAGAGCCTGTGATCTTGGGTGAGCTACGGGCTGGTCTGAGGTTCTCTTTCCTCATCTGGAAATGGGAGTGTGCCACCTGCTCTCGATGGTTTTGTCAGGAGTAGGGCATGTGTAGGTTCTACAGAGTAGGCACTTTATAGATAATACCTACTATTGTTAACTTCAGAAACACTCAGTGCTTACTTGTTAAAAAATAAATACAAAATAGGGGTGCCTGGCTGGCTCAGTCTGTAGAGCACGCAACTCTTGGGGTTGGAGCCTCATGTTGGGTGTAGAGATTACTTAAAGAAAATAAAATCTTTAAAATAAACACATACATACACACACACATATATATACAAAATATATAAAAAATCCTACCCATCCTAACTTTTTAACCTAATTTTGATGTTGTTATAGTCTGACCCTTGCCTAACTTTTTTCCCACTGCTACCCTAATATCCAGCTGTACAGTAGTGTTGCCTCAGAGCTCCCACCTTGGTGCCTTTACTCATGCAGGTTTTTCTACCAGTCAGTCCCCATCTTTAATGCCACTTCCCTTCTGAACTCTTCCCTGCTCCCTGGGATTTGGGTCCAGTCACCCCTTCTAGATTGAGGTAGACTGAGGGCTAGGACGGTGTCTGATTTGCCCCTGCCTCCTTTGCCACGGTGCTCTGCACATAGTTTAGTACATGTTTGGATGCGCTGATAAATCTCTAAGACCACTCTAGATCTTCTATTTGGAGATGTGGCGCCCTTGTTTCCTGGCGCACGCGTTCTTAGTGTCAGATTGCATCTGGTGTCTTAGAGCTTCACACACGAGCCACCGCTTCGCGGCTGTCTTTGCAGTTACAGCACCACTGCCTTTTCAGTGCGCATCACCTCAGAAACACGTGGCCTTTATGAAACCTAATAGCACTTTTCCCAGGGCTTCCCTTGGC